CGCTGCCGCCAGCACCCGGGCCACCGAGCCAGCATGGGGTCGGGGAGGGGTTTGCGGGAGGACACTCACACAGTCTTGCACGTCCTTCTGGGCTTGGGTGAGGAAAGCCAGGGGCTGAAAAAAAATCGGCAGACGTGTGGTTGGCGAGGCCCTCCAGCACGGTGACGGCAAGGTCCAGCTCGGCTTTCACCAGGGTCAGTCGGTCTTCCACCTGTGGGCGGGAACATCCTGGTTAGGGGACCCAAAGCGCCAGGGCTGGCCGCGGGCTGGAGGGCAGGGGGTCTCGAAGACCTGCCTGGGGGTGCGGATGGAGGTGGGACCCCAGCTGACAGGAGGTCCCAGCTGGGGGAGGGGTACCCCCTTTTTACAGCGTCACTTTGCTCTTACCGAGAGCTCCGCCGTTTCCCATTTCTGATGGAAGAGAGTGGTGTTGCATTTGAAGCCCGACGATGTCACGATGGCCTCCTGCAGTCATAAACCAGAAGAGAGAGTGAAAAACTCTTATCTTGAATTTTGGCAATGTTGTGCAACCCCGATTAGCCTTGAGGGGTTTGAAACCAGGACGAAATTTCGCCCAGCATCCTTCTCGTCCTCAAACTCCCTTGGAAAACATCCTCCTCATCCCCAAACCGCTGCAGAAAACATCCACCTTGTCACACGGGGTCTCAAATTCGGCATCCCCTCTGCCTTGCCCCCACCAGCCCACAACCCCTTGTTGCCAGTGGTACTCACAAACTCCTTCTTCATCTTCCACACAGCCTGCAGCTCGTGGGGCACGGGGAACCCGTACTTGGACAGGGTGCACCTCTTCTTCGGGGTGTCCTGGGAGAAGGCAGCCCCCAGCACCAGCGCAAGCAGCGGGACGAAGTTGAGGCAAAGCATTTTGCTGATGAGAGACCGACGGTGAGTGGGTTACGATGGGGCGAGGGAGCTGCGGTGCAAGAAGCCAAAGAGGACAAACGGGATCTCTGATGTAGCGATGCCTGACGGTGTTGCTGCGGGTGGCTCGCTCGGCTGTGGGGCTGGTGGCCGGTGCTGGGGAGCTGCTTTACGTTCTTCGCTGTGGCTGCCTCTCTGCCCCATCTCCCCGCCTTTTTATGCCACCCGCCTGGCGTGATTGCGCTTTCAAGTTGGCAGGAAAATCCGCGGCCTGCCGGCTCTGGAAACAGGAAAGCGAAAGCGGTGGCGAAGGGAACCCCGCGGCCACAGGTGCGGTAGGTGTGGGCAGCGCCTGCCTCCCGCTGCGAGCGCACCCAGCACCCCGGGGATGCAGGGGGATGCTCGGGCTGCCCTCGGTGCACACGGTGGCAGAGGGGGGGGGGGTGGGGGGGGACGCTGCTGCCACGTCAAGTAGCGCAGAGGTGCTGGCAAGTACAGGGAAGCCTGGGCACGATCCAGGCTGGCACCACATCAAAAGCTGCAGGAGACCCCTCCCCAGGCACGCACCCCTCGGGGTAGCTGGGAGGGTTTCGGTGCCTTCTGAGCAGCGACGGTTCTTGCCTCAGTTTCCCCACAGAAAGCGCAGCACAACGGCCATGGCAGGGAGGGGGCGAAAGCAGCAACCAGGAGCAGGCACTGCACAGCACAGGCTACGGGCATGAGTTTTATGTATGTATTATCCTGAGGGATCAGACTCGCTACAAAATCAGGAAAAAAGGTGAAAGCAGAAGTATTTCCACCAAGCATTTTCCAGGTGGGATGTAGATTTGTGCAGGGAGGCTGCCGGAGATAAGCGGGGCTGCCACCCCCACCAGCCGCTGGAGCTGGCTGGGGTTTCCTCCCTGTTTAGCCTGGAAACGCAAATATCGTGTATTGACATGTCTCTGCTGCCGGCTGGAACGGTGCCCCCATTCAGCAAAATCCATCCTTCCCTCCTGCGACGTGAAGCCATCACCACTGTGCTTTTATTTTCATGCATTCATCAAGCATTAAATATAGAAAATCGGGGCAATACCTGTATCTAAAAACCAAATAGACAATAACGCAGCAACAGGCACAAATGCACTTTGCGGTGCCTCATGTGCTGGCTGTAGAGGAGCCCTGCTCCAGAAGGACCTAATTTTTAACGTTCCTATTTGGAAATAAACTGCTGACTTCAAGGAGCCCACGCGAACGAGAAAAGTTTTTACACAAGATTGTGGAAGGGTACACTTACAGGCGGGCAGACCGGCATGGATGTGCTGTGCCGAGTCCTGGAGATGGGCTGGGACCTCTGGACATTGTCCAGTCCAACCCCTGCTCTATCAGGGTCAGCTGGAGCAGGTTGCCCACAACATCGTCCAATTTTGAGTATCTCCAAGGATGGAGACTCCACAGCCTCTCTGGACAATCCCTGCTAGCGTTTGATCACCTTCATAATCAGTGTTTTCTCCTGTTCAGATGGACTTTGATGGATTTAGGGTTATGCCCGTTGCCTCCCGTCCCATGAGCAGGCACCACCGAGAGCCTCCAAGCCTTCTCTTCTCCAGGCTGAACAGTCCCAGCTCTCTCAGCCTGTCCTCGTACAACAGATGCTCCAGTCCCCTCATCATCTTCGTGGTCCTTTGCTGGACTCTCCATAAGTCCGTGTCTCTCTTGTATTGAGGAGCCTGGAACTGGACTCAGCACTCCAGGGGTGACCTCACCGGTGCCGAGAGGAGAAGGATCGCAACACTGGTTGTTGTCCCACAGGGTCCATCCAGCCCTCCTTGAGCCCTTCCCCTGCTCCAGCAGCAACTCCGAAAGCTCAGGTCTTTCCTGGAAAACCAGGGTGGAGATGAAGAGGAAGGGAGAGGGGCAGGCAGGGAGCGGCGTGGCTTGGACAGGACCTGTTTCTCCTTTGACCAAACAAGATGCAGATACAGCTTGGAGAAGAGCCAGGACAGCAAAATACGGCGCTAAAGCCCAAGAGCACGGTGGACACAGGAGATTTCACTTCAGGGACAGTCACGGACGTTGCTGCTGGACCAGGCTCCCACACCAGCCTTCCCCGCTTCGGTGGGTTGTGCGGGGTCAGTAACTAAAAGCCGGAGCTCAGGTCCTTTGTCTGCCCCGTCGGTGAACAGGACAACAGCACCGTCTTTCCTTTCTCTCCCATTAAAGAGACGCACAGATTTAGAAGAATATTTTTTATTCAATGCAACAAGTTCACAATCAATACAGCTACGAAATAAAAGCCCACACCAGCGTAACTAACTTCATGTGCATTGCCCAAGCGAGGCACAGCTCACCTGGAACAGACAGCACCTTCGCAGAAAATCCTGATGGGTATAAAGATAAACATGGCCCCCAGTGAGATGGGAGGGAGCGGGGGTCCCGGCCCTGCCAGGAACTCTTTGGGTCACAGCGGAGCAGCTGGAGGGCAGTGGTGGCTCAAGGTCCCACATGGTGAAGCCCTGCCAGCTCCTAGGACAGGCACCGTGGGGTGTTTCTTCCTCCAGACCAAGGTACAAGCCAGGCTGGGCTGTTTTGGCACCGGGGTTGGCATCTCCAGCAGCAGCTGGTGGGGCTGGACAAGGTCCCCAGCACTCAGACAGCGATGTCCAGTACCTGCCGTGCTGGGATGGCCTCGTCCGCGGCCCCGCAGCCCCAGAGCAGGGCTGAAAGATCACCCTGGCACAAACACAGATCCACTATGAACCGCTGCCCCCTGCCATGGCCAAAGACGGCGCTGAGGGCACTTCTCAAGTCACTTGTTGGGTCCCAGAGCAGCATCACATCCCTGCAGGACCCAGCTTCTTTGGCTCCTCTTCCCCATCACTGTGGATTTTACCTCCTGAGTGTCGTTTCTGGTTGGAGAAGGAAAGCAAAACCTCATCTCTTCACACACGCGAAAGGAGATCCAGAGGCACCAAAGGAAAACTGAAAGCTGAGCAGGGAAGCTGTGGCCATGACCTCAGCCTCCCCGGCACTTCGGGGGGCTTGATGAAGGGCTGAAGATCTCCTGGGCACCTTGCTCAGATGTTTGCCCCTCGCTCACCGCCAGCCATAGCTGAGCCCACAGGTGCCCGGCCGAGCAGCAGCGAGAGCTTTTCCTTGATGGGACGTAGTCTTGCCATCCCAGCAAGCATCTCGCACCGCGATGCCATGCTCCACCACACCCTGGTCCCCAGACCAGCCAGCAAGTCCTGGCTGCTTTGGCATGGCTCTTCCAAACCACGCTAGTGCCAGCTCCTGCCACGACAGCAAAGGGTCCCCCAAAGCCGGCACAAGCTGGGGATGCCACACCGTGCCCGGCAGGGTCTGCAGGGTGCTGGGGACCCACCGGAGTCACCGCTCTAGCCCCGGTGGGTGACAACCCTGCCTGACTGGGGATGGTGTCATGCGGAGAGAGCGGCACAGATGGTGACGATGGAGCCGCCTCCTCAGATTCACACAGCCCAGCAGGAGCGAGAAATCCCAGGTGCACGGGAGGTCCTGAGTGTGAGAAAGAAAGCGAAAACGGGCAAGGCTGCGGGCAGGGTGAGGCAATTGCCCCATGACTCATCAGGCACCACGTGGCACGAGCATGGAAAAGCCTTGGCCGCAAGCCACAGCGCTGGAGCGGGTAAGGATGAGCCCAGATCGCTCCTTCCCAACCCCTTTTGGAGCTGGTGGGCTCATCTGGGAGGAACCGGCTCCTGCTAAAGTGGCTGGTCTTGGAAAAGAAGATAGAACCAAAAAAGCACCCCAAAAAAGCCAGCTTTAAAAATAAAAATAAAAACCCTGGGTGACATGCGGGATCCCTGCCCATGGCCCAGTGGTACTGGGACGTCGGGTGGCCTCCGCTCAGCAGCCATCACCAGACCTGTCCCCGCCGG